TACAGCAGGCCATTGTTTAATAATATGGGCAACTGATGAGTTATCCATGAGTAAGCATGCTTGCCAGCAGCTCTGACGATCTGCGTTCAATCCCGAGCTCATGATGGAAGGAGAAATCCATCTCCCACAAGTTATCCTCTGACTTCCACATGTACACCACGGTGGACAAATATTTATGTTCACATACATATATACATACATGCATGCACGCGTGCATACATACATACAGTTAAAAATTATAAAGGAATAGAATTCTGATAATACTGTAACGTAGATAAACTTGAAACCCCACACTGTCTCATTGAATCTATCTGCATGAAATATCCACCATAAACACATCCACAGAGACAGACGTCAAGACGGTCTGGGACTGAACGGCGACAGCTGAAAGGCACGGGACTTCTCTTTGGAGGGATAGAAATACCCTAACCTGAATGGTAGTGATGGCTGTGCGACACTGACTGGCTGAGCAGACACGAACTGTCTGCTCTAAACATATGCATGTGAATGGCATAGTAACTTTGCTTCCCTGGGGTCGGTGAGCCCGTGTTGAGCTGAAGGCCAGACCTTCTTCCAACTCATGTGGCATCTGGCAGTCTGCCCAGCATCTTTTGGGCTGGGCATAGAGTCCCTTGACCTGTTTCCGATAGGCAGACTGGACTCCAATATCCAGCATCCCTCCCAAAGTGAGTCTCAGAGAAGGGAGGGCGCAAATGTGCTGAGAAACCACTTTTGAGGTATGCTTATATGTTGTGGGGATTAGGGAAGGACCCTAAAATTTAAGAAGCACTCTAGGCCCCCTCGGGAGGCCACATACCTGGCCATGTCTCACACTCCCAGTGACCGATCCCTGTGAGACTCTAGATGAGTACTCCACAGACTCGGAGCCGAGCAGTGTCTTGCACCATGGCCAAGGCAGCTTGTGAAAGGAAGCATTAATTGGGTGCTTGCTTACAGCTTCCACGGGTCCAGGACCATCGAGGCAGGGATACGGCAGCAGGCAGGTGCTGGAGATGGAGCTGAGAGCTCTGACCCACAAGCAGCAGACAAAAAGAGAGGGAGGCTGGCCTGGCAGCCTGAAACCTCAAAGCCCACCCCTGGGGAACACCTCCTCCAGTAAGGCAACATATCTCCTAATTCTTCCCAGTTTCACCAACTGGGACTCAGCATTCTATCTGAGCCTCTGAGGGCCATTCTCCTTCAAACCACCACAGACAGTAACACACCAGCCCTGTTGGCCTGGCCTTGAGGGAGTGGCCTAGAATTTATCATGTACTTTAGGCTGGCCTCAGATCCTGGCCTCAGCCTCTCAGGTGCTGGAATGACAGGCATCAGCTACCACCCCCAGCCAGAGCAGGTCTGGCTGGCTCCAGAGCCTGTTCTTCAGGCAGCTTCCTCAGGGGATAAATTGAGGAGCCCCCGGAAGGGCATTCCTTGCAACCACTGGACGCTCTGCAAGCCTTTGCTGTGGATGTCTTGCTCCAGAGGCCTTGCCTGAGTCCTTGTGGAAGATGGGGATCCCAAGACTCCTAAACAGCATTGAGGGGACAGAACTGCAGTGTCACATTGGCCAGTAGGACCCCCAGAGCCCTCCCCATCAAATGTTGTTTCCTCATTGGTTCGTTTGTTCATTCATTCATTCATTCATTCATTCATTCATCAAACATGTTGGGTGCCTACTATGTCCCAGGCCCTGTTGCACAGACCTGGGTTACAACAGGAATGTTGCACTCCAGCGTGAGAGACAGAAAACACAGACAAGTGTTCAAGAAACTTTAACCCACTCCTGGGCCAAGGACGAAAATAGAGCAGGGAGCAGCAGCAGCAGCCAGGTCTGGGGCCCCTGCCAGCCAGAGGGAAGCACGCTGAGTCAGTCCCAGGGAGGGAGAGGTTAAAGCAGCCCGCTTTCTGGGCGGAACCCTCTGAGCTTTGCTAACTTTGCCTGGTGTGTTTCTTCACATTGGAGTGAACGTCTAAGCACAGAGAATGCAGTCTCCCAGCTCGGACCTCCAGAGGATTCTCGGGGGAAGCTGGCGCCACCTGGGTAGGAGCTCCTCTCCCAGGGCGCCAGCTGGACAGTGGCCTGGAACCCAATGAGGAAAGGGAGAGCCCCCTGGGGAAAGCTCAGGCCAGCCGGCTACAGAGGCCTCCCAGCTTGCTGTCTGCCGAGCAAAGGAGGCTCCATCGCTCTCTCCTTTGTCCCACTAGGGTAAGTTGCAGCTCTAAGTGCAGAAGAAACTTTGGGACCCAAATCCTCCAGGCCGGGTTCCCAGGCCTCCTGGCTCTGCCCCTCCCTCCCCTCCATGTACTTGTAACCGATCACCCCTCCCGCAGCCCTGAGCTCCACAAGAAAGCTGCCCGCAGAGGATGGTCCGGGAAGAGTCCTGCTCAGTCAGCGCCCGCCAGACAGGTGTGCGTAGTCCCTCCTGTGAAGCTCGGCGGAATAATCGAACCTGCACCCGTCTGTCTCCTCCGTGTTCCTCAGCAGGCTCCTGCCCTCACCCCTGTTCCCAATGAACAAGGAACGCATGAGAGCCTGGAGCCTGAGAAGAGAAGGGAGCTGTCCTGCGGCCTCAGTGACACCAAGGAGAAGGCGGCCGCTCGGCACCTCGCTGGCTTCCTCCTTAGCCCAGACTCTTGTCTCTGGGCAGGCCCCGCCCAGCCGCCTTCCCTCTCTGGGGCCAAGGCATCGGAAGCTAGGTAGGCTGTATCTGGCCATTGGACTAATATCCAGATATTAAGTAAACAATAAATTAGCAAAACTACAAGAAAATTCTACAGCCCTTTGCATTTGGCAATCATTGAGTGTTAATTAGAAATTCATTACAATTAAAACACTGCCTAAACAGGGCCTGCACGCCTTAATTACATCTGATTTTTAATTCAGAATACGTGTTTACACAGAAAGCGCTACGTACCCCATGATTATCCCCAATCCTCTTTATACTGTACTAATTATGTAAATTAAACCTAATTAACTGACGAAAACTGCCGTTAATTCAACTGGTAAAAGATATGTGCTTGAGAAGGAGGCGCGTCAGCCCAGCCCGGCCCAAGCCAGAATCGGAACGGGCACTCGAGGCCGGCGGCGCGGACCACACCAGGAAAGAGGGGGCAGCGGGGGCTGCTGAGGGATGCAGAGACAAGGCCAGGAGCGGCTAGAGGAGACAAAACCCTGATAATGAGGGCTGGAGAGAGAGGCCAAGGGCAACAACTCCCCCAGACTGGGCGGGGCTGCAGCCCCCAGAGCGACCACTGAGAAAAAGGGGTGTCACGCACTGCATCAAAACTCAGGTTCCTGTCCCAGCTCTGCCTTCCCATCAGCCCCTGAGCGAACTTGCGAAGACCCGGGCTTAGCAGGCATCTCTCCTCAGCACCCAGGTTGAGACCCACCATTCCTTCCCACCTCCTCACCGAACCCCTCTGCAGAGGGCCAGGCAGGGCCTAGCTCTGCGCGTCCTCCTGAATGAGGACGCGGTGTGCGGCTCCCGGCGCCTGCTGTCCCCTTCCTGTGAAGTGGGAATAACTGCGCGAACTGAGGCTGCTGGGAGAACGGGCTGGCAGTCTTTAGATGTGGCTGGCTGGAGTGTTCCTGTGGGACCCAGCCCGAGCTCCGACCCCCAGACAAGCTCCCTAGAAGCCAGCCCCGGCAGCGGCGACCCCCCAGATTCTCCGCGGACTGAGAGCTTAGCTGCAGCTGCCGGGGCAGGCTGGGCTGGGAGCTGTCCCCAGCTTGGTGCTGAACGGGGAGCCGAGGAGACGTCGCTCCTCGGCGGGGCTGCAGCCCAGGGCAGGACCTTCTGTGTGAGAGGTCTCCAGGCGCTCTGCGTCCGGGACCGACCGCAGGCCGCGCCCAGTAAACAGGCAGTGCAGTAAACGGGCAGGCCCCTCCGAGGGGACCTTCCGTCCTCTCCACCATCCTGGGGCGCGGGGCCATCGTTGTCACCACCACACTGAATTCCGGGGTTGCCTTTAAAGAATCATTAGGGTTCTAGGAACAATTACCGAGTGGGATTGTAATTCTGGGGTGGGGGAGCCTGGGCCGAGGGAGGGGAGATGAGCAGGGGTAGGCGAGCTGGGACAGAGGAAAACGGGCTGAAAGAGCGGGAGGATGAGCGCGCAGAGTTGGAGTGGGACAGCCGGAGTGGAAGGGCGCAAACAGAGGGCCTGAGGAGGCTCCAGGCTGAAGAGAGTGGGAGGCGGGGGAGAGAGGGTGACAGACAGACAGAGAGCAGAGACTGAAGTAAGGCAAAGCTAGGCACAGCCAGCGCCCTGCCTGGAGAAAGGAGCCTCAGGCTTGCTGGGGATGGCTCCAGGGCGGCCCCGCCGGGTACCTGCTCGGGAGGCCCGAGCCAGACAGCTCTGCTCCGGGGCCCTGTCTCAGCCAGAGAGAGGAGAGCCGGAGAGGGGCGTGGGAAGAGCGCAGAGCGGGGACTCGACCCGCGGAAGCTGGGGCTCAGGCGAGCCGAGGGCCCAGGACCCAGGGCCGGGAGGGGGGCGGCCCGGGCGACGGAAGATTTATGGCGCCGCTCAGGTTCCAAGGACAGGCTGCGCGGCCGCTGCGCCCCTGCCCCGCGGCCCTCCGCGCCCCGGGCCAGCGCTGCCATTATTAACTTCTGTTTGATTAGGGTAATTGTTCAAACTTGGGTTAGACAGTATGATTAATTACAGTTTAATTAACGTGTCCATTAAGGACACTTAATGCCACGGGGGCAGGAAGAGGAGGTGGAATGGCCGTGGGGGCGCCCGAAAACAGGCGAGGGGTGTTCTACTAGTAACTCATAGGTTAGGATGAAAGGAGACCCGATGGGAGAGAGAGGGAGAGAGAGAGGAGGGGGGGGAAGGACAGAGACAGACACAGGGAGGAGAAATGGAGTGATTTGGGGTATGGGGTACCAAGCGGGGTGTCCGCGGCTGCCAAACCCTGGGCCCCTCGTCACGAGAAAACAGCAGTGTCGACCACGCAGTTACCACGCTTCCTCCGATTAGACCTGTTAGAGATGACGGGGAACACGGGGGTTGGGGCACGAACCCAGGTCCCCAGTGCCCAGCGGCTGCACTGCCCTTGCCAGGCTGCCCTCTCCGCAGAGCTCCGGACCCTGGCCCGGCTGTGAGCGGGTAGCTCTTAGTGGGACCCCCCACTCCCCTGTCTTCTGAGCCCACCCTGCCCGGCCTGCCCCTGCCCCCGCCTGGCCTGCCCTGCTCCTGCCCCTGCCCGGCCTGCCCCTGCTCCTGCCTGCCCCTGCCCCTGCTCCTGCCCCCGCCCGGCCTGCCCCTGCTCCTGCCCCCGCCCGGCCTGCCCAGCCCCTGCTTCTGCCCCCGCCCGGCCTGCCCCTGATCCTGCCCCTGCCCCTGCTGCCCGGTGGCAGCGGCGGGCCTTGGACCCTCAGCACTCGTGTCTAGGGGGCAAACTTTCGGGGCCCCCGGCCCTTGCTCGCGCTCGGCCTCCCCGCCGGCGGGGCCGCAGCTGGGCGGCCGCTTACCTGGGGCGCC